AATCTATGCCAACACAAACGGGATTGGCAAATCCTGTCAAGGTCAGGGAAGAAGAGACCTGAGGAATGAACCTTGGGAGACATCAACCTTAGACAGATAGCAACTCAGACAAGCAGAAGAAGGAGGAGGTCCCCTGGCAAACATGGTCAGAGGTAGAACAGTCAAGATCACGCCACAATTGCCAGGTAGGGAGGGCCAAGTGTATCGTGGTCTCACGACATATACGGTCACAGAAGCACAAATCATTCCACCTACTTTGTTTCGGCTGGATTCCACTCTTTCCATGGCAGTGACAGTTCAGGGTGAAACCCAGAAGTCTCTTGCCCATTTAGTTTTTGATCTGGTCAAAATGAGCTTTCACCATCTCGAGACTTCAAAATGAGGAGGCATTCATGTGACATTCACTTAGCCAGACATCAGTCAAGACCTCAGTGAACAAAAGGGCAGCTTCAGCTTTGGTTCCAGGATATAAGGCCTGGTTTGCTGCACTGAATTGCAGAGTGACTGGAGTACCTTATTTACCCTAGTGGAAGTTTTTGGGCTGTTCCCTTATCAAAAATATTCATATCAGGGTCACCTCTCTTTCTCTATCCCCCCACCCATGCTCACTCTTGCTGTCTTCATTCTCCTTCCTCCTCTTTCTTGTCTTTCTCTCCCTACCCCCTTCTTCCTCTCCCCACCCACATTTCCTACAAGATCTGCCAGTGGCTGTCTTGTTGAGATAATGAGACTTCTGTAATCATAGCACGGGACTAGCTCCGTGGTTGGTATTATCCTAGAACAAGCGCTGGTGATCTACCAGGGTCACCTGTTTATTCTCAAGCTGTGTGCATTGTTATCTTTCTTTTGTCATGTTTCCTACTGTGCTTGACATTCAAAGCCTATGTGAAAAGATGTTCTAAGAGGCTGAACCTTATGGCAACTGTCTGTCCTTTTCCCCAGGATGGAGACACTCCAAAAAAGACAAGCTCTGCTGCCATCACGGTTACCAACACGGCTATTGCCACTGCCACTGTCACTGCTACTGCCATTGTCACTGCCACTGTCACGGCCACTGCAACTGCCACGGCCACAGCCACTACCACAACCACTACCACAACCATCTCCACCATCACCTCCACAATCACTACGGGCCTCATGGATAGCAGTCACCTGGAGATGGCATCCTGGGCAGCCCTGCCTCTTCTGTCCAGCAGCACCGCCAATGTCCGGAGACCCAAGCTCACTTTTGACGACTCGTATGTTGTTCCCAGATCATCACAGATATGGTGTGGGGGCGGTGCATGGGGATGGGTGCATGCAGGATGGCTTTTTTAGCACCAAAGTAAGACTTCAGCAGCGGCCCCTCATCCCCACACATCCTCTGTCTGCACCAAGAAATGTCTTTGGCCCATTTTGATCATGGAGCTCTGGTACCATTTCCAAAGACAGGTGCTTAATTCTAGGTTGCTTTGACCCCCTTTCTTTCTTTTTTTTTAAATATTTTATTTATTTATTTGACAGAGAGAGAGAGAGAGATCACAAGTAGGCAGAGAGGCAGGCAGAGAGATGGGGGGAAGCAGGCTACCCAGCGAGCACAGAGCCTGATACGGGGCTCGATCCCAGGACTCTGAGATCATGACCTGACCCAAAGGCAGAGGCTTAACCCACTGAGCCATCCAGGTGCCCCTTGGCCCCCTTTCTTATCCATGTCCTCAGATTGAACAGAGCGCCAGCATCAGCTAGGTTCGATGGGGTCCACGGGATGTTCGGACAGTGGAATGATTGGGTTGCAGGGGCCAATAATGGGTCCCATTGGGCCATTACACACTTCACATCCCACTTCTGGGCTTCTTTCAAAGTTGGTTATTCTGCAAATGCTAGCAGTCACCTGCCTTCTCCAAGGCATTGTCTTGGCATGGATTTATAGCAAAACTATTTGTGGTTCTTCCGTCTTTTGGGGAAAAGATGAAACTTTAAGGAGTCTGTTTTGTTTCTTTAGGGTTCACAATGCTGATTATTACATGCAAGAGGCTAAGAAGCTAAAGCACAAAGCTGATGCGCTGGTAGGTTTTTCCCTTCTCGCTGCGTCCCTCCCATTCCGGTATCATGTTTTGAAGGGAAACAAAGAAGTCATCTTATCAATAAGTCCAACTGCCTCATTGCTATGCTGACATAGGCAGATTGGGGCTGATTCATTCCTTACACCAGAATTCCCGAGCTTTTTGCAGCATGTTGCCCTGCCCTTACTCATGTTCTTGCTCTTCTTCCCCTTGCCCTAACTTCTCAACTTAAATGCCACATACTGTTGCGGGCTTTCAAGTGAATTCGAGATGACTTTTGAAACTTCCCTGGAGAAAGTGGGAAATCCCTTTGGTTTCAGTAAATCAAAACTGGTGTAGACAGAGACAAAGTGGTTGACAGCTGGTCAGGTGGCCTCAAAAAATGGCTTTGAGAAACCCAGGTGTGTAGAAAAAAATGCAGCTCCGTGCTGCACTGATTCCATGTTTCCAGGTGAGGCCCACAGTCAGGCTAGGACCCCACACAGAGAAATGAAGTTCTGTCATCCAGAGTTCTGAGGACACATGGCCCTGTTTCCTCCAAGGGTCTTGGCCACTGAGACCAACGATGATCTCAGCATGTTGAGTTGTCTTGATTGCTCCTCCTAATGGGGGTCTCAGCCACATGTCACAATTACTCAGGAAGCTTTAAAATAAACCCAATGCCCAAGCCTCACCCCAGATAGATGGAATCAGAATTTCTGAGATGGGGACCTAGGCATAGATATTAATACTCTCTACTGCCCCCAGAGAAGGGCAGTGCCTCAGTTCAGGGTCCTCACCTCAGTTCAACTCCATTATGTTAAAAAAAGAAAAAAGCCCACTGTCCTCCATCATGGCAGTGTGTCTATCCAGGACTTAGCTGGCTCACAATGTTGGACAGTCATTTTCCCACTGCGGTCCAAATTGCTCAGGTATTGTCTACGGCTAACCTTTCTGTGGCAGGAGCGCTCCTTTGAAAGCTATTGTCCCCTGCTCCTGCAGACAAAAATGACAAGGCAGGCTGGGTACCCGCTCCACTGGAGATGCTGAAGAGACTCATGGGCTCATGGAGTGGGACCATGTAGGAGAGGTTTGGAGGAACAGAAAAATCAGAGTCACAGAGATATATATTTATATAGGGTTAAGAGCCAACATCACTCTGTACCTTCCAGGGCTGTGTTTATGTGTATCCCCAAAATCACTTCTTGTCTAAGCCATTTAGAAAATGCATTTTCATTTGAGGTGTCTCCAACGCCCCTTGAGGGCAAAAGCCAGTTTTGGGGGTAAAGTAAAAAAGTCAGACATTGGAATGGTGCATGACCCTCCAGTCCACAGGGCACGAAGAGATGCTGAGCATACTTTTGGTCTTTATGTTTCGATGGAGGTGTGTGAAAAAAATACCTCAAATAACTCCCACAGGGTTCAGGGGAGAGGTGGTAATGATGGAAACAAAGGTTGAGAGACATTCATTTAGAGGAAGATATCTTTGCTAGGCTCATGTCTGTGCCAGACCCAGAGGCCCTCTGTTGTTTGAACGCCTTGGTTTATGGATGGGGAAACTGAGGCCTGGGACCAGGGTAGGACCTGGCCACAAAGTGGCACAATGACCACGTAATCATCTTTCTGGACTTTTCAGTCTCTCCTTTTGGAAAAAGAGAGGTTTGGTCTAGGAGATCTTTAGGAAACCTTCCTGCTGTGGGTTTTTGAATGAGAAATCACTTTGAAAAATCAAGATGTAAGGAAGAGTTTCCTCACAAGAGAGGCAGTCAGAGCCAGATTACCTAAGGAAATAATCAGGTGAGGCACGAGAAGGAGGAGATAGTTTACATACACACACATAGGTTTTCATAAAATCGCTTTGAACGTTGTTGAAACCAATATTCTTCCATAACAGCTCACAGTGAGGAAACTGCAGAACATTTATTGTAAAAAGAGTCATTTACAACAGTGGTTCTGTAGGACCTGTAACTCATCATTTTATAGTTGTACTTAATCCTTTTCCAGAGACAACTACTCTGCCATTTTGAGAATTGAAACCTTCACAGCTGCAAGAAAATATTTTGATAAAAGGTATACAAGAAAATTAAAATAGCTAAATCTGCATTATATTGGTTCTTTTTACATAAAATCTCATATTAGTGGAATTCTTACATCCAGCTATCAAAAAGTTGAAAACATTAAATACTGTTATAAAATACTCACTATAAAAGTGTCATATATAATATTCATTATACATAAAAAAGAAATCAGTATGTCTGAGTCAGTTTAATCATGACCATTATCGGGGTTAAAACCTTTTGCAATAAAATTTTACTAAACTAAAATATTTAGTGGTGCTATATTTTTTGGCTTTTTGACACACTATTTCAGGCCATCATTTACAATGAAAGTGATATGATTCTTGTCAACAGTCACACCAGAAGCTTCACATTTTTCATGACAATAGCATCAATTTGTTACTCCTCCCCTGGGGATGGGGTTGATGTGATCACAAAGACTGTATAGGGAAGTTGCCCATGAGTCTCATGAAAAGCAGAGTTTCAGGGCAAGGTCTGCCCATAGGATGTTCCAAGGCCCTGTCTAGTCAATTCCCTGGGGGGAGGGGTGCAAAATGGCCCTGGAGTTGAGACCTGCTCCTTTACCTGGGGGGGAGAAAAGAGGCAATATGCTGTTAACGAGTCATCTTCTTGTTTCAGTTTGAGAAATTTGGCAAAGCCGTGAATTATGCCGACGCAGCCTTGTCCTTCACTGAATGTGGCAATGCGATGGAGCGTGACCCTCTAGAAGCCAAGTCTCCCTATACCATGTACTCTGAGACCGTGGAGCTCCTCAGGTTAATGGCCTCTCTGCAGCAATCTTCCTAAGCTCATCTCAGTCGTAATTAGAAGCTGCTATGTTTTTTTAAAACTATCATTTCCTCCTACTAATGGTTTGTCTTACGCATCTTCTTCTTAGAAGTCATCGTAATTAGTTCTTGCCATTTTATTAATGTCATGGAAATTTATAATTGATGGACACTGCTTTTATAAATTATCCCCTTCAGAGGTTGTAACATGAGTGTTATAATTTGCAATATTCATAAAATTAAAATGGAAACGTAGTGGGTGGAAGTAAAGTATAATAATTTCACCATTTGGTATTGACACTGGCCTTTTCAAAGTGCAGTTTTATAATTCAAGGAAGGTGGCGCTATCAAGATTTCTGTTATAAACCATGGTTTTCTCAGAATTTCTGCGTTGGGTTGTTAAAAAGGAGGGGCCACTGTTCCTACACAAAGTTGGCTTGAGGGCAGCAGGTATGCATGAACTTCCCCTGTGTCTGTAACTTCAAGGAAACAGACAAGGTGGTAGGAGGGGGAGGGGTAAAGATTAGAAGATGCGAATAGGAACCAGTATATTAACTGCACAGATTATTGGTCTCATTTGCATTTGAAATGAAATTTCCTGGCCTGCCCTTGATCTTGGTGGAATAAAATTTGTGAGTAATCAGAAAAATTCCTGGAAGAAGCGGAAAGAGAAGAAATGCCCACTGTTGTATTTTCCAGCAATGTGCAGATATTTGTAAAATAATTGAAAAGCACCATCATTTGCTAGACGGACTAAATAATTGCTTTTGTTTGAGTGAGCAGTTCCTCACCTGATAAGTCCTTTCTATTCAGGTCACCTCTGGCTTGATTAATTGATAATGCCAGGCCTCGCTTTTACTGGTACAAATCGGAGACCCTTGTAATTAAACCTCCAGACAAACATTGAACACACTGAGCATGCATATTTATCCAGCAAAGTCTTCCAAAAGATCAAAAGAATGCACAGTATTATTTTAAAAAAAAAACCAACTGTGCTTCCATAGAATCAGAAGAGGAAGTTCAAGTCACTAAAGTAGGGGTTTATGAGGAAAGCAGCCTCACCTTGCCAGGCAACCACCTTTGGCTTTCTTCTGTTCAGAGAAGCATGTAAGGCATCTATCTCTCAGACTTGCTTTCTGCTCTGTAAAAGCCACCACCGCCATTCTGTAGCTTTTAACAGGAAATTGATTTCTCAGTGTATTCGAGGCCACCAGTGATTTTCAAAGACGCACAGGATGAAATTTCTGGCAAAAATTAAAAGTCAAGGGGCAGCATTAGTGAACAAACACAGAGAAAATTCATGTTCTCTATCCATCCAAACATGCAAACTTTTTTTAAAGGCACTTTTTAAATTAGTAGGAAAGTTAAAAAATACTAATACCTAGTGTTTAGATACACACATGCATACACGCGCCAAATAATGGTGACCTAGGCCTCACCTTTGCTGGGGGAATAGAAACTGATCATTATAAAGTGAGGGAAATTTGGCATTATGGAGGAAAACCTTTACAAATGAGCATTCATATCTTTTCAGCCAGTAATTCAACTTCTGGAAATGTGAATTTCCTGTACTGAAAAAAGTAATTGTGAGAGTAGAGCGAGTTATCTGTATGGTGTTAAGTTTGGCATATATTATAGCACACAATTAGAAGCAAACCAAATAATCAATCACAGAAGAGTAAGTAATTACACTGTAGTACACTCAACAGAATTCTTTGCAGCCAGTGAATATCAGCCACGATGGAGACTATATAACTGCAGAATTATATACACACCACATTTCTGGCCATGAAAAGCATGTTTCTGCCTATAGACCATGCGGGAAGGGAAATGAGATCCCAGCTGCAGTAGGGTGAAATGATGGGTGTTTCCCATCTCTCTATATTTTTCTTTTTTCTTCATTTTCTTTTAGGAAAACACATGCTTTCTTAAAGATACAAAAGCAGAGCATCATATTTCATTTCTGGTAAAAATGCAGTGCGAGTCTTGGAGTAACATTTATTCCCATTAGAAAACACTTCTTTTTCCATTATTATTTACAGGGGAGAATGTATGGACGTTCACTTTAGAGTCAATAGTTTGAAACTTTATCTTAATTGTTGATTCCCTAGCAGTTGTAAGAAATGATCAGGAAAGCTCCTCTGGCCCCGCGCCCAGTTTCCCCCAACAGTATCACAAACAAGATAGTGACATTGACAAAATCCATGGACTTCTTTCAGAGTTTCACATGCACCCCTTCGTGTGCCCTCTGTTTACATGTACAGATTTCGCATTTTCTGTAGAGCATGTGTGGGTATATATATGGGAGTGTATATATATATATTCATATGTATATGTATATATAAATATACATATATATATTTAAGCAAATTTCAGTTGGGAATAAAATGGGCTAAAACAATTTAGGTCTTCTGGTCCCTTGAGGCAACTGAAGTTCCATGAGCCACTCACTTCAAAAGTTGTTGCAATTAGAGGGTAACTAATATGAACATGGTTTTTAGTGACATAATATGTGGTGGAGAGATTTTTATCACTCTCTGGCAGTATGCTGGCCACAGAGAGAGCCCAGTTTTCTTCCTTCAAGCAATTATAGCAGCTCTGAGCCCTGGGAATATGCAGTAGAAATGTATTTGTGCAAACAAGTGGGACATCACAATGACTTGACATTTCAGTGATCCAACTGTCAAAGACAGTTTGATTTATTACATAATAAAAATCCTTTCGCTTAATATGGCAACAGAAGAGACCCACACCCAGTTCACAGGTCCTTTTGCTGGAAAATATTCCTTCATAGCAGTGGAGCTATAACCAGGAGACAGGGTGCCTGGTCTTAGGGGGCAAGCCCTGGGGCACCTGGTGTTCTGGGGAGGCTGTTAAAAATGGGGAGTCCATGGTGCAGGCTCTCCATCACCTTCTCATAAATAAGAATGAGCCCAGGCTGCCTGCACACTTCCAGCTTCCTTTTGCAATGCTGAACTCACTTACTTATTCCTCCACAGGTACCTGTGAAATTGCATTAAAGCTCAATGATTTTATTCAATGAATTGATTTTCAAGAGTCTAAATGCCCAGAATGGAATGTGCTCAGCTAGAAGAAAAAAATGAGAACCGTTCCACCTTTGATCACCCCAATGTGGAACGGTAACAATTAAAGAGAATGGAAAGACAAAATATACAAGCACCATAAATGAAAGGCTCTTAGACCGGCAAATGCTGTGAAATTGACCTTCCTCTTAAAAAAAATAAAACCACTTTCTATAGGAATATCTTCAAAACATGAGCCATTAGAAAAGACCTTTTTTAACTGTGTGATTGTGGGCTCCCCATGCCTATGTCAGACAGAGTCGTGTATTATTTACCTTGTCTGTCATGAACTCAACTGAGACGGACACCTGTGGCCGCCTATCATCGCAGACCAGTCATGCTGGTTAGCTAGAGTGCTCCTCAGGACGGTCTGTGGCCAGCATGGTTTTTGTTTGTTTTTATTTAAATTTCAGTTAGTTAACATACAGTGTTCTATCAGGTGTATGATACAGTGATTCAGCACTTCCATGCTTTCCCCCGGTCCTCATCGCAACAGGTGCACTCCTTAATCCCCATCACCTGGTTCCCCCCGCTCTCCCACACCTACCCAAGTCACCACCAGTTTGTTCTCTAGAGTTGAGTCTGTTTCTGAATTTGTCTCCCTTTTTTTCTGCCTTTGCTTGTTTGTTTTGTTTCTTCAATTCCACATATGAGTGAGATCATGCGGTATTTGTCCTCCGCTGACTGATTTAGTTCACTTAGCGTGACACGCTCTAGTTCCATCCACATCGTCGCCGATGGCGAGCATTCGTTCTTTTTGAGGATTTTGCCACACTATGGTGGTTCCACAGCACTGCCCTAGAAGGTGGGCTCCACATTTAGCTGACCTCTCCAGGGCTGACTTCTGTACGCCACTCTTTGGATCATCACTTCACACGTGTTTCCAGGAACGCATGTTCCTGCCCACCTGACCTACATTTTCCTCCCACCCCGAGCAAATGTGGCACTAAAGCGTTCAGGTGATGGGAATAGCAATGACTTCTAGACTCTCTGAAGGGTCGTGCGGATGGCACTTGAGCTTGTCCTTTCTCTTCAAAGGTACGCGATGAGACTGAAGAACTTTGCAAGCCCCTTGGCTTCGGATGGGGACAAAAAGCTGGCGGTATTATGGTAAGTCTCACAGAGGTTGCGAGCAAGCAGCTGAAATGTCACAGAAGGATTTGAAAACTCCAAATCGACTTAAGCTGCTTACCCCAGATCATTATTCTTGTTTTCCATTAAACTATTAAAGGATAACTAATGGATTTCTTCAGTCGCTGACTAAACATTTACTCTCCTAATTTATACCCTTATCAAGATGGGATTTTAATGCTTACCCCTTCTCTTTGAAGCATTTTCCTTTTTTTACTTCTGGCTCTCAGTAACTATAAGGGAGGGAACACAGCCTGTGACTCAGCATTTTTGTTGCATTAACATAATCCTTTCCTCCTTGCCACAGCTACAGGTGTTTATCACTTCTCTACTTGCGGATGTTCAAGCTGAAGAAGGACCATGCTATGAAGTACTCCAGATCACTGATGGAATATTTTAAGGTAATCCTTATTTTGTATAATTTATAAGTACCGGGTGGACAAAATCACTAATGAGACATGGCAAGCATGTGATTAAATGTCAAGGTTGTTGCTGCAACAGGCTTAGCCTCTGTCATCCCAGCCGGCCATGGCCCTCCTGCCTCTCTCCCTCGGGGCCCAGCAGAGAGCTCACCTCTGATTTGATTCCTGGGAGAGAAGGTGCAGTAGTGCGATCCCTTGATTACCTTCTGGACTGGCCAAATGACCCTTGACATCTTCCTGGTTGCAATCAGGGGAGTGATGCTGCCTTCTTCCCCACCCTGCATGGTAGGGACACACGAGGGGACACAGGTTGTGTCCGTGGTCATGGCCTGTCTCCTGTGAAGTGAGCAGCCAGCCCAGAAATGTCTTAACAGTGGGAGAAGTCGCTGCAGCCACCCTGGGCTCTAGGGGGATAGCCATTCCCGTAGGAGCCCTTTAGCCATGGGTAGCCTTGGAGGGCAGTGGTTGCACTTGAAAACTAGTGATCAAAATTAATTAATTAATTGATTAATTAAATAATAAAATAAAACAAAACAATTGATTGCTCTGGTTACCAAAATTAACTAGCACACAAACAAATAAATAAATCCATGGTCTAGGGAACTGGAGATTTTAGTTCACAAGCAAAAAAGGAAGGGAAGGGAAAGGAAAGCAAAGGGAAGGGAAGGAAAGGAAAAAGAAAGAAAAAGAAAAGAGAGGAAGGAAGGAAGGCATTTATCTGCAAAAGAATGCCAAAATTTAGGACTGAGCCCAGATAAAAACTGGCCACTGACTGGCTTCATGGTCTCCGAAGCTTCTGCTTCATTTGCAGCACGCCCCCCAAATGGTCATGATTTAGATTTGAGAAGGCTCAAGGCTCCTGTTGGTCATGTCTTAAAGGAAAAGGATGATTATTTATTATTATCATTATTATTATTATTTCTGCCATGTGCATGAGACTGCTTAGCTAAATTGCACCAAAACAGTTGTCCGAGATGAATTGAACCATGACCTTCACATTGGTCTCCCAAGTGCAGTAAGTGGCATAGGGCATGGCTGTAGGAGCACGCCGACTGGGCTGGGGAAAAGAGCACGTCCACCAGCTACTTCCTGGTGTGGTCACAATTCCATGAAGCTGGTGCTCATGTAGGGGTGATGCATCAAATACAACAGTTGCCCATCGCCCCCTCTACATCTCCGCTCTCCACCTGTGCCACAGAAAGGTGGCTCTCGAACCTGAGTGGGCATCTGGAGGCCCTGGGGAGCTCATGAACCCTGAGTCCATGGTCCCATTCTCAGAGTCTGCTACTGGAGGTCTGGGACAGGGCTGCAGAGCTGGCATGTGTAACGAGTTCCCAGGGGATCCTGCTGCCACTGCTGGTCTTGGGCTTATGCTTAGAGAGCCACAGCTCTAGTATCTATCCTCTTTGGCCTGTTCTTTGTGGTGTTCAGGGCACGGTAAAAATGCCAAACATATGTTGAATAACTCACTCTTCTGGCAGCGTGCTGAGCTGCTTTTAGATGAAAAACTGGAGTTTGCAGAACACAACTTAGATGCAGGTCTCCCTCCACGTGCCAGAGAAGTGTTGCCAGCCTGGGCTCCTGAAAATGCCTGACTCTCCCTAGCACCTCATTTGCAAATGGGGCTGGGCCGCAACCCAAGAGGCAGGGAGGAACATAACCTTGATCTTTGCCAGAGAAGGCCAGCCTGAGTCAGGCGGGGGGTTGGAGGGCTAGTCCTGTGCACTTTGGGCTCTGACCCAGTAATGTCATTGTGGAGAGCTGGACCACTGTCCTAATGTGGCGGTGCTGAATGCTCTAAAGGTGTGTGGCCCCCTCAAATGCAGGAGGCCCATTTTTGAAACCAGCCCAGTTCCATTCAGAGGGACAAAGAATCCTCAGTGGTCCATGGCAATGCACCCCCGGATCAGTGGCATTGCTAAACTGGGATTTGCCGGTCGCTCTGCTCAGTCCTGGCCCATTCCTGAGAAGTCAGAAATTACAGCCCACGTTGCATCCCAGGAAAAAGTTTGCCATGGGAGCTAAAGGTGAAAGGCTTGCCAGTACTCTGAAGAGCTTGTTTTGCAGAATAAATTTCAGATGAGGATAATTAAGCCACTTCTTGGAGAACTGAGTCTGATTTCACTGGGCCTTTTAGTATATAAGATCTTTCATCAAGTGACTTGCATGGTCCTGATTGGAGCCCGCTAATTATCCTACCCAGCTATTTTCATCGAGTGTGCGTCGTGGTGTGCTGACGTGCACTTAACATCCCAGCTCTGCGAACAGAACAGGAGGCATCCCGAAACGCTGCAATCAATATTAATGTACTCAAAATCACACTTCCATCTGTTTCTGAATTAATAAAACACAAAATAGATGTCCTTATTTCCCTCTCTCTCTCTCTTTTTTAGCAAAATGCCTCAAAAGTCGCTCAGATACCATCTCCCTGGGTAGGCAATGGAAAGTAAGTATCTTACGAAGATTGCTTTTTCAGAAACTCAGCAATTTAAGAGACCCCCCCCCAATATTTTGTATCAACAACTCAGGAGCGAAGGTCAGTCCTGACACTAGAGTGATTTTTGTGCACACGAAATTCTGGTCCAGTTTCAGCTAAGGGCAAGACAGAAAAGTTTAATGGGATGTAATTCCAAATTTCTTCAACTATTTGATCTTTAAGCCAAATTATGGCCATAAAAATATCTGTTAATGAGATGGCAAGCACCGTGCCATTTCAAGGGAGGCAGGGTAAAGTTAACTCCACGGCAGTGATTTTTCAATGATTCACTTGATAATGAAAGACCGATGAAATATTCATTGATACATACTAAGTGCCATTTAATAAAACCAAAGGCATAATAGTGTTGAGAATGTGAAGGCACTTAGTCAGCCAATTATCTGAGCTTTCATGGTGATCTTTATGTTAATACTAAAACACCCTGACCTAAAATACATAAAGCATCCACTCTACTGCTGATCTAAGGCTCAGCGGAATCCCCCAGTCTCTCCTCTGCTCAGAGTTGGAAGAGCACCCACTGGGTTCTGGGGCTGTCCCAAGCTCCCAGGGGGACTCAGGGAGGGGCAGGGCTGGTGGGTGGGGCACAGGGGTCCCTTCCCAACACTGAGCATGTTCCTCCAGCTCTAAAAGGAAAGAGCTGGACCCCTTGGCATCTGAGGCCCCTGCAAAGAGCCGTTCCTGCTAAGAGGAAGATTTGGAAGACCAGTTCTGTCCCTGCAGCGACCTGGCTCCATGCCTGCCCTTCTGTGCTTGAGCATCAGTGTTCCTTCTGATTCCAGTTCCTCCCTCACCACCCCAGGCCCACTTGCCACCACCACTGGGAAGGGAAACTCTGTGACTGCGGATCCAGGGTTTGACAAAGAGCTGCTTTTTCCATTTCTCATTGTTTCAAAATTCTTATGTCTCTGGTTCATACATTTTCTTCCAGAGTATGATAGTATCCTTTTGCCACTTTATAAATATCTACAAAGCGAATTCTCCAAGCAGTGGAACAGGAACTCTACTTCGATATCATAAAAATATTCAGAGTGAGGGAAGAGACCCATTAAAAACTCTGCATTATCTCAATTACTGTATTGAAAGGAAGTACCCTTTAAATTGTTGTTAAGTCTTACTTTTATGTTGTTGAACTAAAGCAAAAGAATGCTTCTTGCTAGAAGTTGAGAAAATAAAAATAACCATTGAAAGGCCCAGGGAAAGCTATTTTCTCTGAGCACAGAGTAGAGTGAGGGCAAGTTCAGGTAAGCAACCATTAAATGATTTCTGGGATTTTTTTTTTTCTTTTAATTCTGAAACGAAAGAACTAGAATGCATCCTAAGCTTGTGAAGTCACATTAAAAGCCTCCTGAAAGGATGTTTTAGGCAGCTTCTGTGTGAAGAAAGCTCACTCCCTTTGGTGGGCCAGAAAGATTTTGAATGAAGTAACTCCAAAGGGTCACCCAGGGGTTGCCTCTCATTCATTCAACAAACAACTCAGATACATTTCCACATGAGAGGCACACCTGACTCTGATGGGATCCCTGTACTCCAGAAGCACACAGTCCAGTGGAGGGAGGTGACAGATGTGTACAAAGGTCTATGGGAGCCCAAGAGAAAACAAGCTTGGTCTTCCCTGGATGGTCATGGAGGGCATCTTCTATACAAGCAAGACCATAGCCTGCTTGCCCCAACACATGAGTGTGGCTGGCACCACACAGGGCTCCAACAGGCACCTTCCAGGGGCAGCAACCCCTGACCATGAGGGCTGGGGGAGAAAATTGCAAAGAAGCAGTTGGAAGGAGAAGAACAATCTGCTTAGTACTGAACATGGATTGGCAGACTTTTTCTGAGGCTTAGATGTAATATCTGAGCACCATGTTTGGCACATAGTAACTTTACCATTTGAGCTGGAAAGCATACACTGTCCCACCCCTAGAACTTCCACAGCACTTGGCGTATACTTCGTCTTGGGCACTTATTCTAGCTTGTCAGAAACTCATGGGTCTTCTCCCCTACTAGACCATTCGTTCTTCCTAATAAGGGGCTATTCATTATTTCATTTACCACCTATTTGCTGAGTGTGTACTATGGATGAGACACTCTGCCAGGCACTTGACAGACACACCCCCATCCTTGTACTATATGTTGTGCTCCTACCCTCTCCAGAGCCTCTTCTATGTAGTGGATACTAAATAATGACAGAGGGATGGTTGGAAGACAGTTCATTCATTTATTTAACTAACATTCATTAAGTATGTAGTATGTGCACCAGGCACTGTTCTAGATTCTGGGTATAGACATAGACAGAAATCCCTGCCTTCCTTGAGGTCACCTTCTGTTAGAAGAAACAGAAAAAACTATGAGTTTTGCCAAATGGTGGTAAAGGTCATAGAACAAATGGAAACCAGGAAGGGAGATAGAAAGGTTGTCTGGGGATTGTATGGGGGAGCAGGACACCCATCTTGAATTGGGATGTTAGAGAAGGATGGTGGAGAATAGTCCATATAGATACCTAGGAGAAGTGCATTCCAAGCAGGACAACAGCCATCTTCCAAAGTGGGGTGTGCCTAATGAGTCTGATGAACAGCAAGGGGGTGAGTGTGGCTGAGAAATGGATTGGACCAGTGTGCTAATGGTGAAAGCAGTGGGAAGTTTGTGCCTGTGTGTACACCCTCATTTGCATGTGTCCTGAAAGTATGAAGAGAAAGACAAGATCTACAAGTAGACCCACAGAAAGAAAACAGGACAAGGAACTCCAAGCTGTGTGGAAAGCCAGGTAGGAGTTAGAGGCCCCCCAAGATGAGCGTTGCATTGTACCCTTGTAACCAGAGTCACAGCCTTCCTTAGGCAGGTTGGAATTCTTTCATCAGTACAATGTGGCCTGCAGATACACTCATCGGGAGGTCACTCCTAGAGCCTCGTGTAAGATCCACCATGACCAAAAGCAAACTCGTGCCCTAGCTTCCCTTGCATCCGCTGTTGATTGTTTACAAAAAAGTAGGCAATAAGAGGCAAAGAAAACCCTTCAGTTAGCATTTTGATGTTGTAAGCTCAAAAGGCCTTTTCTAGATGTACAAAGTAAGCAGAGGTGGTGTGTTTCCCTTTGTGACTTCTGGACATGATTGGAAATCATTGAATCCACCCTTTTCTTTCAGTCAAGGAAAGGCTCAGCAAGGGGAAGGAAGGGAGATGCCCGGAGCACAGAGAAATTCAGGGCAGGGCCAGGGTTAGAATACAGGTATCCTGGGATTCCAGTACATTCTCTGTTCCCAGAATGACATGCTTCCCCTTTCAGCATTTGAGACACCTGACAGCTTTGTGAATTTTCTCCAGAGATTACAAATGAAGACATACTCACTTCTTGCCTTAATTTGGCATCGAAGAATTAATGACCACTACTTAGAGAAAAGTAAATAGCATTTGCAAGCAACCACAACAAAGAAATCCAACATTCACTCCCTGGTGTGTGTGTGTGTGTGTGTGTGTGTGTGTGTGTGTGT